TTGCAGGCAACATGCAGAGTGCTATGCTTGTAGTGAAAGATCTATAGATATTTATTTCTTGAATAAATGAACGAATTAATAAATCACAAAGTCCATAATCCATGTGTCTCTTCTAGAATTTTCCCTTTGTTTTCACAAAACGAAGGCTAACTAGCTAATATTGCAGTACTTTAACTCAAGATTATTTAATTCTTTAATGTAAATTTAACCAGTCATTATTTCTGTTAGAAAAAATATTCACATATTTGATAACTATACATAGGTACCCCTTTAACCTTAGTCTGTGCTGAGCTAAACAGTAATGATTTCTTTAATGATTCCCTGTGGGATTATTTTCACTCCCTATTCTCATTTGTTTTTTGGATTTGTTTCCAGTTCTTTATTTCTTTTTTAACCTTACTGGGTCAAACTTGATAAAATGTCTCAGTTTAGAAATGTCACTTTGTATGAATTTATATGAATTTAAAAAGTGCTTTTAAATTAATGTAAACATATGTTACCAAGTTAAGACCCTGGTTCCAGTCCTGATTCAGCCACTAATATGCAAAGTTGCCTTGAGCAAACCACCAAATTTTCCCATAAGATATGGAATTTGGAGGGGGTTTTTTGTTTTGTACTGAGTTTTGAACCCAGTGATTTCACACATCCTGAACCCTTTTTACTTTTTTGTTTTGCAACAGGGTCTCGTTAACTTGCTAAATTGCCCAAGTTGAGCTAGAATTTGTGAGCCTTCTCCCTTAGCATCCCAGAGTTCTGGGATTACAGGTGTGGTACCATGCCTGGCTTGGAATTTGGAGTTTTCAAGATACATTCTAGTTTTAAGATTCAGAGGTAGTAAAATGGTAAGGCAATGAAGAGTTTAGGGCTTAGGTCATATATTAATTAATTCCTTCTTATTTATTATTATGTGCTTGGTGTTTTGAAGGTGCAGTGGTAAAATAGAAAAAGTCTTTTTACCCTCTTGGAGTTTAAACCCAGTGAGGGGACAGTCATTAAATAACCTAAGTTTTGAAAATTTTTAAATTCTATGAAAGCAAATAATATTTGGAGAAGGGATACAAAGCAGACCTAATTTAGATACATTTTATAGATTCAAAATACAACATGTAGTACATGCATGAATGTAGTCTGTAATTTTTGTTAACTTGACCAAAACTATACTAATTTCACTACATGTTTGGAGAAAGTTCAAACATGGAAGATAACTAGGAATGCATATTGAGAATTACAGAGACCCCCGCAAAGCTGCATGAGATCCATGGTCCTAACATAATACAGATTTTTTTTTTTTTTTTTGCACTGGGAATTGAACTCAGGACCTTGTGCTTTCTAGGCAGACACTGTGCTGCTGAGCTATATGGGCACCAGTATAGATCTTTCATAGACTGAAGGTAAATTTCTTGGTTGGAGGTGTGTTTGCTCAATTTGCCATAAGGCTGATGTTATAAATCTGTGTACATACTTTGTTTTGTATTTACTGAATGCCTGCTATATGTAACCAGATAGAAGAAAAAATAATGTGTCCTCTTAACAGGTTATCACAAAGATGTCTAAGAATCCTTCACATCACAAACAAAGTACAAAACATCTCCAAAGCATCACGCACATTCCATACTTGAAATATCAAATAGGTCCTGATAGAATGGATTCTTTCATGCATTCTACACAAATAAGCTAATGGGGTATCATCTCATAAGAGTTCAACATCTCCAATTTAAGCTGTGGAAAAGGCTTATGCTTCCAAAACAACTATTAAGGAAAGATCATGAGGGTGATGTGAAAATATTTTACTGTGATATTTAAAGTAAGCTGTATGCTGTTGTTACACTGTTCGGATTCCTGGATTTCTTCCTGTCTTTAATACCACTTAAGCTATTGGAGAATACATTGACAGTTTTAATTCCAAGAAGAGAATACTAGATACTACTTTATATAAAAATGTAATGATGAATGTCCTAAAATAAAAGCTTGCGTCCCACTGGTGCTGTCCTGAGTTGAGAATTTTGACTCTTGACTCCCCTCAGTTTTCCTCTGCCACCACTAAAACCACTAGATGGTGCTCTTATTCATCACTTTTAATAGTACATCTGATTCACACAAGGTACTTTGCCTAGCCAGAATTTCTGTTCCAACTAAGTGGACCCTTGACTTACAAACTCAGTTTGTTCCTCAGGGCTGGTTGTAATTCAAGTCAAGTTGTCAATTGACGGCTCAGGCTCCTCTACACACCCTTGAAAGTCTCTCTCCTTTATGCAGCAGATCTGTGTCCTTAGAGGGATATTGGCCCAGGATTTCTCAATTAACCCATACAGGAAAGGATGTTGTAATGTTCCTTTTAGAACTCTGTAAGGATTAAATCTGTATCTGAGACCATCTGGAACCACAAACAGCCAGAATTTGGGTCATAACTCAAGACTTTGGTTATAAGTTAAAATTAAAAAGTATGATCATAATCTAAGTTGTTTGTATGTCAGGCTGGTCGTAACTTGAAGGTCCACTATAGCTACTTTAAATCTTCAGACCTAGGAAGAACTGAAGTATAAGAAATATCACTATCTAAGCTATTAGTATTCATAATCAGTCATTTACTTAGGTACACACCCTATTTTATATGTACCTGCCTTTTTCTTTCCTTTTTTTTTTTTGGTTTTTCTCCGGTACCAGGAACCAAACTCACGACCTTGTGCTTGCCAGGCAGGCGCTTTGCCACTGAGCTAAATCCCCAGCCCCTCCTTTTTCATTTATAAGCAACGTCCTGAGATTTTCGGCCTAGCCCCCTTATCCCTGCTTTTAATCTGTTGTATAGCTTTTGGTCGGTACCCACTTAGGATTTCAAGAGCACTCTTTCCCTTGCCTTACCCCTGACAAGTCTGCCTATTCTGTGCATATGTTTTCTCTATGTATATTATAAGCAATCCACATTTTGTACTTTATAATAAAGAAAACTTTCTGCCTAAGACAGATTTTTCAAGGACTTTTCCCCCTGCATTTAATTTTAGGTTTTATATTTTGGTGTTAGAATAAATACTTAGAGCCTGACTTCTTAGCAATTTCCCCCCCCTTCCCCCATACCAAACCAAGTATATCTTGTGTAGATCATGAGGGCAGGAAAGACATGTTTTCATACTTCAGAAAGTATGAAAACTTTTGTTGGTAGTATTATCATCTGTACAAACTATTTCTAGTTTTGCCTACAGATATCCTTTTTGTTATCTTAAAACATCATAGATTACCAATTTGGAAAATACTTTTTTGTTGTACTCACAGCTTACACAGAATGCATTACTTTTTGCTCTTCATTTTATCTGCATTGACTCAGGCTGATCTTTTTACCAGTTAGGCTTATATAGTAGAGTTTTACCTTATTATTATCATAGATATTCCCATTAAGATCAGATACCTCCCTTTCTAATATTTTTCTAGTGTATTTTAAAAGTTGGAATCACTTACTGTTACTGCCATACTATAGCAGAAAATAAAAAGAAATGAATTTATGAAGTTATTTTGTTTTTTAAAATAAAATGTTCAAAAAATAAAAGAAAATAAAATGTTCAAATTGGAAGCAAGATTTAGAAAACAAAGATTTAGAATAGCCATCTTTGTATTTTTTAAAGCCTAGAAAGTATTTTTAAAAAATTTTTTCAGAAGTCTAGGATCAATGTGTATTCTTTTAAAAACACCCTTAAAGACATGGCTTTATTACAAAAAATACCATAATGAGGTTATTGGCTTTAATTAAATGGTAGCCCAAGGGAGGAGCATAAGGAAACCCCAAAATATGACAAATAATACACAAAATGAGAACCTGGATGACCCAAGAAGGAATTTGAAGAACAACTCAAGGAATTTTAAAAGTGGTCATCAATTCTTTAAAAGCTTTAAATCTACCTCAGGAATTACTGGGGCCATTAGACAATATAAGTAAAAATTAATTATTTATGTGGGAGATTTTAGGATCCTCAATCTGTATGTCCTGTTTACTAAAATAAGTTATTGTGATGATCAAAGCAGATAGTATATGAAGAGTATTTTATAAATTATAAAATGCTATATAAATTTATATATTATAATTTGGACACTAAATTCTTGGGTTTAATGCCAAGCCAATGAAGTTTATAACACCTTAAACAGAGATTCAGGGAGAAGAGGGAAAAAGTGATAGATTTTTTGCCTGCCTTCTTTTTTCTGTCTCTGTCTCTGTCTGCCTTCATCTCTCAATCTGTGTCTGTTTTCCAGTCATTCTTCATGTTAGTAATAATACAGGTCTTAAAACACAAAAAGTTACCAACACATCTGTTGAATTTTTAAAATCCTCAGGGGCTTTTTAGGGTTTTTTTGTTGTTTTTTTGTTTTGATACTAGAAATCAAACTCAGGGCCACTGCCAGGCAGGCGCTGTGCTGCTGAGCTATATCCCCAGCCCTGTCTTTTAGTTTTAAAGAAGAAGGATTCTTTTATGGAAAAAATATATTAAAAGACGTGAACCTTCCTGAGTCATTCTGATTTTGCTACTTAGAATATTTTACTGATTTTTGGAATGTAAACTTCTGACTTCTTACTTTGGTATCTGCCTTTTGTTGCTATTAGCTAGCAGTGAGATTTTTATAGGACATATTGTGTAGAAAAGCAGATGTTTTGAAATATGTTGACAGCCATGGAATTAGTATACTTTCAAAATGCTTCTATAATCATACACCTAAGGCTAAAAAGAGTCAGAACACTTTACTTTGATTGAAGTATATTACTACGCTTGAAATTCATTTAGGATAAATTTATTATGATTAAAGATTACAGGGATTAAATTGCAGATTAGAAGTTCAAAATTATTAAAATTTTTGTGGTAATGGGTATGGGAAACATTCTTAATAGTCAAAGTTTATAAATAGCCTTCATTTGAAATGGTTATGTGTAAATATTATAGTACATTTATAATGAGTAGATATTTAGCCATTAAACTCATTTTGAAGTCTTGTTTTAATTCCTCTAATTCATTTTTTAACAGTGTTTGCAAGCTCTGAGCCTGTTCCAGGATTCCAAGGGGATACCCTACAGCTAGCATTCATTGACCTTAGACAAGTAAGATGTAATAATGTACTTTTCATTTACTGCCTCTCTTACCTTTTATTTTTAAGCCTACAAGAATGCTTGTTTGCCTTAAGATAACCTCTTTTTAGAAAAATGCTTTTTTTGATACTATGTGTTTGCTATTTCTCTCTAAACTTATATTCATTCATTATCTAGAGTATTCTCACCATGAATATTTAATTTAGTCATTACATACAAAGCATGTCACTAATTACCTCCAGTTAGGTTTAATGATGCTTGTAGTTTGTAATTTCTTAGTAATTTTAATGTTATTTGAAAATTAATGGTAGTAAAACTAGTGTCATAACCTAAGCTAAATGTACATTTTTATATCCTAGAAAGTAACCTGTTTAAAATTTTGTTGATGGTAAGGAATGCTATTTTTAAAATTTTATATGTGCCTCCAGAAAGAAAAGTAAAACTAGTTTTAAAAACCAATTAGGTAGGTTGGGGATAAAGCTCAGTGGCTTGGTACCTGCCTGGCAGTTGTGAGATCCTGAGTTCAATTCCCAATACCAAAAAAAAAAAAAACAAATTTGATGTTCACTAATTTTTATCATAATCTAGGTCAAGTAACGTGCAGTTTTTTTCTCCCATTCATTTTAAACTCTTCTGACATTTGTACTCTGTTGTCATTTTCTTCCAATTTCCATCTTCTCATAATTTTTCTTTTTCCTACTCCCTTTTTTCTTTGTTCTCCTTTATCTTTCTTAATCCTAAGATTAAGGAGTTCTATAAAGCTAGGAAGTCACAAGGCTGTGAGGAGGGGATGATCTGAGTTAGAGCGTTCAAGGAGTGCTAGAATTGACAGTAGGAGTGACTGTTCCCCTTGGCAAGAAGAACTATGTGGAAGCTAAATTAAAGCCACTGTGATAGCAGTCTGGAAGCCACTCCTTCGGGAGATGGAGCTGACTGGAAGCAAGGCTCCACCATCAGCGTGAGCAGGCTTTGCACAATAATGTTTGCACTGGCACAATTTGAGCAGTTAAGAGACTCTGATTTCAGTAGATTTTTGAAAACAAGCAATTTTTGCTCTCATTTCCAACTAGTGTTTAATAAGTACTAATAGACTAATATTCATTTTTACATATATTCATTATTTGGAAAGGAGAAATGTGGAAATAGACACAAATGTAATAATAGAAGAATTATCATCCTTATGGAGCATAAAATTCCTTTAGAAAAGCAAAATCCCTATGAACTAGTTAGGAATCCTTCTAAGACGAGTTACGTGGAATTAATGGTTATATCTTCAAGTCAGATTTAAAAGGAAATTAAAAAGGCGATTTCTGTCACCGAATTATGTCTGTAAATCACAGAACATGCTTATTTTTGTTTGTAAAAAATACTGCTCAGATATTTTACCAATCAAGGAACATTCTTTCTTTTTTGTTTTTTTTCCCGGTACTGGGAATCAAACTCACAACCTTGCACTTGCCAGGCAAGTGCTGTGCCGCTGAGCTAAATCCCCAGCCCCTCAAGGAACATTCTTATGAGTGACCTAGATCTATAGATTAGTTTTACTGAGTTGAGGAAGTTAGTAGGAATTGAAGAAAATGGACTCTCAACTTCATTCCAGTTTACCAGAAGAGATTATTTCTATTGGCAGTAGGTCCATTTCCTTTAAAGGACTTCCCTTTGTTGCAGCCCTGTTTCTTTGACCAAGATGATCTAATACAGGAAACTGGGTCCACTAGAGAGTTAGAAATAGATTTCATTGTATATGTTCACTACTCATGTAAATTATAGCTGCTTACTGGGGAAAGTTTCCTTGTTGCAAGGATGTGAATATGTTCTCTAGTCCAAAGGACAACTTTTAAGAGGGAATTTGAGGATAATTCCCATTATGTACAAATAACCTGTTCACAGAAAAGTTGAAAATAATGTGATATTTTCTGTTTTGTATATTCAGGTAGTATAACATTCTTATATTAACTATTTTGAGAGGTGGAGAATAGGTAGTTCAGTGGTACTGACTGGCATGCTTAAAGTTTTGGGTTCTGTTCCCAGCACTGGAAAAAACAACAACAAAAAACAGAATCAACTAGTTTGTAATCTCATATCTCTTTTTTTTTTTTTTGGCTTTTTTCTGGTACTGGGAATTAAACTCACGACCTTGCACTTGCCAGGCAAGCACTGTGCTACTGAGCTAAATCCCCAGCCCCTTGCAATCTCATTTCAACATTGTGAATAGGACCACATAGATAATGAAACTGTAAAGATGCTGTTTCAAAGAGGTCAGAGATGTAGGTTAGTGGCAGAGCTTGTGCCTCGCATGCATGAGGCTCTAGGTCAGTGGTGGCAAACCTTTTAGGGCTTTTAATAATACAGACAGCCCATTACAGAACGTGTTCCATATTAGGTTTGCCATCATTACCCTAGGTTCAGTCTCTCAGTGCAGATTAAAACTCTGATCCCAGTCACTTTCTTCTTCAGACAGTCATCATTTGATAACATAGAAGACCTCTTTACAACATGTAGCTCCATGGGGAATTATACTGAGGCGTACTTAGAATACTGGTAACCTTAAGTCCCATTGAATTTACTTTCCAAATATGTATCTTTAAAAAATACTTGGTTGAGTTTTCTTTACAGTGTAATTTGTTTAAGAAACTTTTAAGTAAATTTTAAAAATTGTGAAACATGTATAATTATGAAATCTATTTTGATATTCAGAGAATTATTAGAATAAAAAAATGTATATGATAGCTATGTAAATATTAAACACAGTTCTAAAGTATGGTGGTAAATATGCAATGGAAGAGACTACTGGATAGAAAATTTTGATGAGCTACTATAATATACCAATTTTTCTAATTTTGAAAGGGGCTTAAAATAATAGTCTCATTATTGTTAAAATTTAATCATATCCTATTCCTGTACTTTTGTATTCTAAAATGAGAAGATGTACCTAACTTTTGTCAATATGTGCTAGATCACCATGGCATTAACTTAAATTTTACAATTTCAGTAGCCTAGACTTAGTAAATTCAAAATTATGCTTGTTTTTTAAATTATAAACATTTAAATGATGAAGTGAAAAATATGAGAATTAGCCAGAAACTTAATCTTGAAAACAGAAACCTTATATGAGGTGATGCAAGTCTTTTTGGTATTTAGATGTTATTATTTAAGTGAAAATGTCTTAAAATTTTGCTAGTGCTTTTATGTTTCTGACTTCATAGAGATATTTCTATAGCATACTATTTTCACACATATATGAAGTAATACATCACCAAACATAAAGGGGGTGCTAACACCTTTATTTACATTTCATTTGAGTCTCTGCACTTCTTTTTTTCTAGACTGTGATCCATTTCTGTCTTAATAGGGCAGCTGACAGTTCTTTTCAAGTATACTTAGAAAGGCAAAAGAGCCCTTTTCATAGTACTTATACGAGGTCATGCTTCTGTTTTTTAGTTTGAATTTGATACTGCTTCATGAATTGCTGGGTATGAAAGATTAGGAAGTAGGTCTAGTGGTCAAATTTTACCTGCCCACCCGGACTTTGCCCTGAGGTCAAACTCCTGATATTTGCTGTACTGAATAGAGGAGTTGATGACAAGTGTGAGCTGATACAAGAGGAAAGTTAGAACCATATCAAAGCTGAAGGCAAGAGAATTGGGACTCAATGAGAGACTGTAGCTATAAGATGGATCATCAGGATTGCCCTCTTTCTAAAGAAAAGGAAAAATAGCTGAGCTGTGAATGAAAGGACTTTATCATCCTGCCAATCACATACTTGCTAATGGAAGCCAGTTATCTCAACAACATGTTAAGGCCTACTGCCCTAATAGACAATTTAGAGGATTAGAGGTACTGATACTACATTATGTGAATATACTATCTCAATCAATTTAAATATGGTGTTTGAACATTATTTATATGTGGAAAAAAATTTATTTTACAAATAAAGCCTATTACCTTCCTACCCGTAGTTCTAGAATTAAGCTACTAAATGATGAACTTTGATATACTTACATATGGCTTTTTTATGTAAAGTTTATCTATTTTGTTATAAACTTTGAAGTAGACATCAGGTGAATATGTGAAATTCTTTTAACAATACGTGAAAACTTAAAAGTTTTAAACTATTCTAAGATTATATAATGTACAATATTCAGTAGTAATTTTAATAACTCTTTAATATAATAGAAATATTTCACTAAATGTCACTGGAAAATGAAGTATCCCATATACAGAATTTTACAGTAACTAAATATTATTTGTTGAGTCACCAAAATTTTAAAATATAGCCATTTTGATGGAAAAACTTTAAAAAGTAACTCACCCTCATCACTTCTTACTAGCATAATTCTCACAATGGCTGGACCATTCATGGCTTCACTGATTCTAGTATTAAACCCTATTTAACTTATCCTACTTCGTATTAAGTTACTTAACTGATGAGCTGTTGCTCGAGTCACAGTATCTCAATAATCTTTCGGTTAATATACAGAAGTCTAAGTAGGGATGATAAAGCAAAAAGATGGGTTTGTAGCTGATAAAACAGTTTCTTGCCCCAAAGAATGTTGGCTAAAGTGTTATCTTCAGAGAGCAATGTTTCCCAAGTGTCTTTGTAGGAAAATTGATTTATCAAAGTAAGAAAGGTTTCTCAAAATAAGGTTTCTAGGCTGAAGGCATAGCTCCGCGGTGTAGCACTTGCCTAGAATATGTGAGGTCCTACGATTTCTGTCCCAACACCAGAAAAAAATAAACGACATGAAAATGGTCCCAACTAAACTAAGTTGGGGAAGCATGAGAAGCAGTTGCTATTGTAATTCACTTGTAGAGACTGACTATGTACATTAAAATTTTATTTTAATACATCTAGAGTCTTTTTTCCCCAATCCCCTTTCCCACTTCAATCCCATTTTTCCTCCTTATTTACAAAAGCTTTGTTTCCATTTTTTTCCCTTCTATTCTTTTTCCCTCTTCTTTCCTTTCCCTCTCCCTCCTCCCTGTTCCTCTTCTCACTTGAATACTTTTTC